GAGAGAGAGAGAGAGAGAGAGAGAGAGAGAGAGAGAGAGAGAGAGAGAGAGAGAGGGAGGAGAGAGAGGAGAGAGAGAAGAGAGAATCCTGTAGATAACCAAATTTGTAAAGGAATTGGCAGAACTAATCAATTGTTATTGCAAAGCTTGTTTGAAGATTAGATATTTGGCTTTGAAATAAAAATAAAATACAGCTAAGATGGTTGAAAAAAAGGAAACAAGTGTCTCCCTAAGTTACAGCTGATTACATTGCAAGCCTGCCATTCATGTGTTTACACTAAGGCAGATGTACTGATATAATAAAAGACACTGAAGTTATTTTAGTCATGCCTACTTTGCACAGGGAAAAAAAAGCTTGACCTTTTACCTTGCTCACTGCTGTTGTCTCCACTCTGGGAAGCATGGCCCCCACTGGAAGGCCCTGGTGTGCCTGCTGAGTGCGTTGACGTTGCATCATCATGATCTCTCCAAGAGGAAGGATTCTGGTTTCAGAATGTCCATTTTTTCCCACAGTTATCATTCCAATAGCAAATCGAGGAAGGGAGGTTGGGAAGCCAGAAAAAAAGTAGGCAGGTTAGCATTTGCAAATATTCCTAAAATTCAGACACTGTTCAGAGGCAAATGATTAGTGATGTTGCAATCCTAAACCATTTTAACTAATAATAATATTTTAAAGTTCTTCTCCTTAAAAGAGTTTTTAAAAAAACTTTTCATACTTTTAACAACCAGTTGGTCAGTTAAGGAAATATTTTAATATTTTATATGTATATGGTCACAAAATAATTCCATAGATGAGCCTATGAAGGCATATTAAGTTCAATAGCAATTATTCCCAAGCAAATCAATATATGATTGCTCTCTAGTTCTGATAATAAAAAGAAAATCACTAGAACTATTCAAAAACACAGCTGAGCTACTATCTCTCTTTATTTCAGTTTTTGCTACCAAATTTGCAGCAGGGTATTTTTTTCTAATATGGTGTGGGAAATTAATAATTATAACACACACAAAAATTATTTTTTTCTCTATTATAACATCTATTACAAATAATACCCTAAACAAAATATACCTAATACGGAAGGTGGATGATGCTTTTAAAAGATTATACAGCTAAAGGCTAACTAGATATGTAAGTTTAAATGGTCATTTGCAATATATCCTTCTCTAACCTTTCTATCTGATATATAATGGCAATACATGAATGAATAATCATTGAAGATTTGGCAAATCTTTCCTATTTCTACAGTAGTTTAGTAATATAATTCCCATTTTAAAAAAAATATTGATCATCGGTTTTCCTGAAGAGAACTGCTATTTAAAAAGATACACGAAGAAAGCTGAAAGTTGCAGCTAACTGCTACTTCACTAAGCATATTCTCCTCCTGGTCCTCCTCCCTTTTCCTGATCATTCCCAATACCCTGCTGTTGCTTAAAGGAAAACAGGAATTCTACTGTACAGGAAAAGCTTTATCAGCACCACATGAAGGCAGGCAAGGGATGGAATTTCCTCCAGCAGAAAAGGAGAACAAGAACACATGCAATAGATCAGACTTAGAGCTGAACTTCCATTGCTTGTCACCTATCCATGACAGCTTAAATTAAAGACATCCTAACAAGAAGCACTTTTGTAAAATATTCTATATTCAGGGAAATATCATGAACCCTAAGCAATTCCACAGAGAAGGCATCAATATTTACTTTGCAGTAAACTTCAGCATCACCATCAACAACTACATCTAAACATTTAGAAAATTTAGAAAAATACCAATCCTTTCAAGCCTGGAGATGGAAAATAACCCCAATAACCAAAACTTTTTACTGACTCCCCCCAAATTATTGCATTTTGAACCAAATGCTTAATTACTTAATTAATTACCAGGTTAGCAACTGAAGCTCAAGTTATCATCTTTAAACAAAGTTCTAAATAATTTCTTATAAAAATATCAAGTAACACTTGAAAAATCATAATCCAACACTAAATTGAATGGGTATTAATGTCTAAGCAGTGAAAGAGAGATAAATGGAAACAAATAGTTAATAATAACTACACAACTCTCTTACTTAGATAAATAGAACAATCTACAAAAATAAATCAAAATTGAAATACTGCATTAAAAAATAATTTCCGATCAAACTAATTTTGCCTAAATCAATTTCCACATTACAGAAAGTCACATTGAAAAATTAAAAAATGCTATAATTAAAAGTAATACTCTTCAAATTAATATTTTCCTCCCACAATATACGAAAATACTACCATACTGCAAGCTCAGGAAGATTTAAAATAAAAGAAAAAGTTGAAAGAATCCGAAATGTTTCGATTTTATGCTTATATCTATTATGTGTGTCTATATGGAGACACATAGAAATGCATACACATGTGTATATACATATACACAAGACTATTTCAAAAAAGCAATGTTGATTAGACTTCAGGAAAACTTATATGGAAATAAAGTCACGATCAAGCAAGTTTCTGTGCAGTCTCGATTAAACAGATTGAGCCTAGGAGCTCCTCTTTTTATCTCTGAGTTAGGAAACCACTCAAATAGCTTCAAGCTGAAGGCAAACAGCAGACAGGAGCACTTTAGCCCTCTGCAGCCTCTCTCAGCGTCAGCTGTTTGCCGGATGGTAATCAGATAAAGAGTTAGAAGAAATACATGAAAAAGGTAACAAAACAAAAGCCTGGCATGCATTTACTCCTGCATCATCATGTTGAAAGCTGCTCTTTATAAAATTTATAAAACAATATTTTCCTAGGACACATATTTCAGACACTATAATGTTATGTTATGTTCTTCAGGTTTTCTTAAAAGTAGCTTCTGTTGAAAGTCCTTAGTTCACTATTAAAGTTTTAGAAATTTATCCAGTTAACACCTTAAGTTTTAAGGCACATGTTAACCAAAACCATACAGTAGGAAAAATCAGGTGTTTCTGGTTTATATAAGGACATTGAGTGAAACTTCTTGCAGCAGAAATAATTTGCTTTTTATACCTTCACTCAGAGATCCAATCTCAATTAGAAGGAGGGTATGGTGGCTACTTACATTGATAGCCATTTAGGGGGGGGGACCCTATAACTGCCTTTTATTCTTCCAAGAAAATAATAGCAGGGGAAATTGGGAAGAATATATGGAATATTTGTGTTTCACCTTCAACTTCCCAAGAGTTCCCTAAGTCTGTCTGACATTAGGTTTGGCCAAAACCCATATTCTGTCATTCATTTTTAGTATATGCATATGCATAATTTGAGAGCATTACTCATGACCAAATAGTCAGTTTTATCCACAAGTTAATGGCAACAATGAGATATTTCATTCTGGGTATGTATTTCCATAGAACTATTTAATTAAATTTGGGCACAGATTATTTATTTATTTATTTCATTAGATTAATATGCTGCCCCACTACACAAAAAATTAAAGTCACCCTAGGGATACTTAAGCAGCAAAATAACTTTCTAATTTTAATATAGTAGGCCAATAGTGTCCTGCCAGAATATTTAGCTTCTTTCATCAGATTGTATGCTATCATGGCATTTTTTCTTGATTTACTTGAGAGAATGTAGTATGGGGCAAGTTTTGTGAGAGAAGAGTAACTGGAAAATAGTCTATATGCTGAATTCAACTGGAATCAACTTTTCTTGTATAACCACTAGAGTCCTGAAGAATTTATATTTCAGTATTATATTAAAAATCTGGTTAAATTTAAATATAATAGCACATACCATATACATCATCTCAAACAACATATACATACTGAGCTGAAAAGAACATAAGCTTGTAACCAGAAAACAACCTTACATACTTATGAAGATACAACTTCAGTATAAAAGTATGCTGAAACATTCAGAAAACAACTTAGCATATGAAAAGCTACTCAAAAAGTCAACTCGCATTATCTAACTATCTTTTGGAAATGGCTTGTTTAACCTGAAACCAATGTTTAATAGCAATGCAGATGTTAAGGGGAGGTTGGTACTTTGATCATCCATATTCTTTAAATTGTTATTCCAACCAATAGCTTAAAAATGGGACAGCGTAAGAATTGGATTAAGACAATTATAACCTGTCACAGCAACTATTTATTTAACTTTGTACATAATATTATGACACATATTTAAACAGTAAAAAAGTATGAATATGTTGAATTGAATCACCAGCTGAAGTGCCATGTACTATGGAATGCAGAGTTCACATGTATCTATTCCCAATAGTTTTAATAATTGGGAGTCAAATATGGCACTGCTCTTGCTCTTATCTAATTGTGTTAAAGAGCAGTGTTACCAGGAGCAGAGCAGTAATACTGAGTGGCACACAATAGAAGGAGATGGAAAATAGATACAAGAAGCTAGGTCTCCAGGGGCAGTATTTTCTATTTGCTGGGCTAAGACTCACAGCTGATAATGCAAGTTGTAATTAATATAAAAGCAGGAGACAATATGGGGAAGGCTTGTACTAGCAGGGCCACAGGAGATCACTCTGCAGCTATCTACTGTTTCTCATTATGTATACAGCTTTTCACAGAAACACAACTTTGCCAGTATTTTTCCCTTGAAAGTTTTTAAAAAATGATTTAGCACCATCATTGGATTTTGCAAAATCTAGAGAAGAGCAGGGAAAGGACAAGAGTCTCTAGGCATATGAAGCAAATGTACTGCGTACTGTTTTGCTGTTCTTACAAATCTAATGGACATTTTAAATGTTTTAATTCCTACATGCTTTTTTAAAAAAAGAAATGAAATATTTTCAACACAGACCTGTTTTATAATAATTATTTATTAACATTCCTTAGAGGCATGTGATTGTTTATATGCTTGAATACTGGTCACTCATCTTGTACAATGCCAAGGTTAGTGATTTAATAAGCCTCAAACTTCTGTGTAAATGACAGCTTACACAGATACAGATGGATTAACTCTGCATTCCTTATGCAACCCAAACTTTCACTGGGCAAAATCACTTTAATTATGCAAGGGGCCCCTGTGGGGTCGATTCTGATCTCACACTGTTTTTATAGTAGTACAACTCAATTTTTCATTATGAAATTACTTGTATTTCAAAATAATATTCTATTTAACTGTCTACCTATCTATATTGCTACAAGCTAGTCAGTAAATAGTTGGAAGAAGATAGAATCAATTGATTTTGATGGGCATTTATATGCAAAAATAAAAATAGCTCTCTTATCTACGGCATTCATAAAACTTTCTGATAGAAAAAGAAGCCTTCTCTTCTTTTAATAAACAAATTAAGAAGACATAGTACTGTAGTAAAGTACAGGTTGTGTACTAGATTGCACTTAGTTATTATAAATCAATTTTGTATATAAAAACATCAACACTTTGACATGGTATTTTGACTATAGGTTAAATACATTTCATTTCATCTAAAGCCTAAGCATAAACTATATAAGATCTCATATCATCTAAACAGTACTGAGAACACCAGCTGAATGACACAATTTACCTAAAAATTTAGTT